TCACAGTCTCTCTCCAACTGCAAATCTGTATTGTTGGCATGAGATCTGTTTGTACTGACTGCTTGTCCTCTTTCTGGTCGTTTGTTATTTTCTTGATGAGCCCTTAGATCTAGTGGAAGGAGTAAACAAGTGCAAGGAGTCTCGTGGGCTTGTGTAACACAGAGCTAGTGGGGCAGAAGCAGATGTGCTCCTGTCCCCTGCTGAGTGGCAGGACAAAGCTTCCCTGTTCTCAGGTCTCCAGGCAGACTCAGTCTCAGGGAAAGAGGACCGTTCTCCCAGGGCCCTAATGTTAAATTTTCCCGTATGGTTTCTGTGTGTTAAGTTCTTCCAAGAATTTGGAAACTCTCAACCATCCCAAGAAGGAAAATTTCCTTACCAATTCTCTCCATCAAGATCACTGCTGATCTGTTATATTCCCAGATGTGGATTCCTTCCAATCATAATTTAACTTAGTCAAGATTTTAGGGGGAAAAGGGGGTAGAGTTGATTGTATTAGCTTTGTTCAGTTGCTTTAACAGAGAACTACATTCTAGGTGTTTTAAACAACAGAAATGCATCGCCTCCATTCTGAATGCTAAAGACCCAATCAAGATGTTGACACAATTTGTTCTTTCTAATGAATTTGTAGAAAATATCCATTTCTAGCCTCTTTCCTTGGGTTGGAAATATTCACTTGTTCTCTGTGTTTGGATTATGTCATTTTCTTTCTAATCTCTGTTCCAAGCTTTTCCTTTTATAGTAATATTTTTTTTAAAAATTACTCATAAAGATCTTATCTCTAATTAAGGTAACCTGATGAGAATCTGGAGGCCATAATTCCAACATACCTAATTTAGCAGGACACAATTCAACCCATAAAAGTCATATAGTCAATGGTCTACTCTGAATACTATATTAATTAAGCTCTAGAGTTTTAGTCATAGAATATACATATGAACATATACACATATATTAGACAAACTGCAACACAAAAATAATGGAAGTAAATGAAACAATTAAAGGACTACAAACCAAAAGTCTTGACAAAAGTACCATAATATTGGGACCATAATATTAAGGGAAATGTGTCTAATTTATTTCCCTTAATATTATGGTCCCAATATTATATCAGACACACAAGCCTCAATAGCACATGGTTTGTCTTATGTGAGAAACTAAAGTATAAATAAAGAGAAAAATAAGTATAAACATTTTTTGAAACAAAGTAAAAGATTCAGAATAGAAAATAGTGAGATAGATCATTTGCAAAAGGAGATCATGAGATGGAGGGGTTTTGGAGAGGAAGGCAAGGGAATGGAAAAAAATTAAGATGTGTTATACATGTAGGAACTCCCCACACTCAATATATTCATTATATACTGCAAACATAGACTAATAAAATTATAAAACAAAAAAGAGTACCTGGTGAAATCCAAGAGATAATTGCTATCAATCTAGAATTTCAAAGTCTCTCTCTCTCTCTCTCTCTCTCTCTCTCTCTCTCTGTCTACTAACAAACCATCACTTAAAAAATAAGTGAACATTAAAGAAAAAAATAACCAAGCCTATTTGTCACCTTGATTTTGGATATCCCATGCCCAGAACTCAGAGCAAACAAATTTTGATCCTTTAAATACCCAGCTTGTAGTATTTTGTTATGGCAGCCCAAGCAAACATACATTGTCACCAGTAGTGTCACAAATTTTGATCCTTTAAATACCCAGCTTGTAGTATTTTGTTATGGCAGCGCAAGCAAACATACATTGTCACCAGTAGCAAACATACATTGTCACCATGAGTTCAGGAACCTAGGAGTAGAAACAAAATTGACCATTTCTTCTTCACTTCTAGTACTTAGAGAATCTGTGCTTTATAACACTGCCAATTTTGGCATTGCCAGGTTTTGTGCCCTGGCTTCAATCTCATTTTTCTGAGACATGGTAAGGGTTTCATTGAAGTAGAAACTGCACCCTGGTATCTGCCAACTAGCATGCTTTCATCATGCCAGTGAGTCAGCAAAAAAGAAATCACTTTAGCAGCTAGTATAATCAGCCTTTGTTAAATGGGGAGCTTAGATTTCTGCATGAAATATAACTCACAGGAATTATTTGGAAATTCAGGGTCTTTTGGTGATCTCTTGCCAAGTTATTTCAATAAACTGAAAAATTCACCAAAGATAACTAAACAAATACAAGGTAACCAGGTGTTCGCATCCCTCATGTTGCTTCATGAAGTACCAGAAAGTTCATCAGCTGAGTGAGCCAGTAAAGTCAACTCTCTGCTAATCTATTAGGTCTAAAAATGTGCCTCATGATTTCAACTTTATTCTTTAATTACTAATACAGTTGACTATATTAATAATATAACGTCTTTCATATTTTAGTTCATGTTCATGAAATATTTCCATATCTGTCTTTTATTGGGTTGTCAAGTTTTTTTTCTTTTTATTTTTTAAAGAAACATCTTGGCTATCAATAATTTAATTATAATGTTATTCTTCATACTTCAGTATTAAATGTTCTTTTTTTGTTTTCTCTTTGTTCATTTTTGTGAGATAGTTGTTAAATTAGAATTTACTCAAAAGTACATCTGACATTCATGGTTATATACTTTGTGTTATCTATCCTATTATGTAAACTCTTATTTTTTCTTTCCCATATTTATGAAATTTATTAAATCATTTATTTTAACATTTTAAGTTGTATGATTTTGTTATTAATTTGTAACTTTTGTCTTAGGATCATTTAAAGCTACACATTTTTAATTGCAGTTGTAGCTGAATTGCTTGTAGTTTTATAATTCTTAAAATACAAATATTTTCTGATTTGTAATATATATCTTCTCTTAATTTTAGTTCAGATATAAGCATTGTCTTAGAAGACAGCATTTTTAAGTTGGTAGAAACTTACTAATAATGTATAGTGTGCTCACTTTCTGTAGATGCCCAATGTCAATTTAAAAGTAATGCTTACTACAAAATTTTGAAATGCAATGTTATGTAACTATCCAACAGATCAAATTTGCTAGCTGTATTTTGAAAATTTACACCTTTTCTTTTAACCTGATTTTTTGGCAGACTGGTCAAACTGCTATATTCCACTAGATCCATAATTTTTAAAATGTGTTACATGTTTTAAACCTATATTATCAGAAAATTTGGAAATTTCACATCTTATTCAGGTAACTTTATTCATTATTTCAATATGTTTTGCAAGTAAATATGTCATTTTTAAAAATTTTGTTGAATATTAGAACGCCTATATATTTTTCTGTTTCTTTCTTTGTTTAGTATTCACTTGGTGCTCATTCTTTTCCTTTCATGCTAGCTTTTGAGACCTTCTTTTTGTCTTTAGTATTACATAACCTATGCTAGTCTAATATCTTATAGTTTAGTATTCTGTAGTCCTGAAGTCTTGAGAAATTTTGTTTATAAGTAATTTTGTTTATAAGTGTTTAGAATAACCTTTTCATTAAAAATTGTTACAATATTAAAATCATAACAGTAGGTAATACTAATTTTGTTCATATGTCAAACATGTTAAACATTTGTTATATGTATTTTAGAAGAGTGGAACTACTGGAAGATAGTCAACTAAAAAGCATTTTGCCTGTGGAGACTTCAAAAGATTCTTTGAAAACTAATGAAATTCTTTATAATTATAAGGCTTCTCAAGGTACAAACATTTCTGGGTAGAATGAATGATGTTTCATTTTAGCCTTATGGAAGTTTTTGATCTAAATCAGAAAACCAAGATGTGAAAAAAAATGGATAAAGACTACACAGAATAAATCCAGAAAACTCTTTTTACTGAAAAGCTTATCTACTAAAGATTAAAGGGGAGCTTTTTTAGTTGTCTAACTTGAGAGGGTAGAAAAATGATAGTAATTTATTCTTTCACTTAAAGAGAAAACAGTAAGAGTACCTAATATGTCAATTTCTCTTTAAATTTAATTAAGAAAAAACTGTGTGAGGAAGATTTAAAAAATATTCTTGACACGTCACTGAAACAAAGGAAAAGTTAAGAGACTTAAAGTAGGACTTTCAGAATAAATAAACAGGAAATTTTGGGAAAGGCTAAAATTAAAGGAATGAACATTTAGATCTTGCCCAATAGTAAATAAAAATTCTCACTACAAAGCTCTAGGCATTCATGTTAGTTTTTTACATTCCACTACTTTGAAATATCACACCACACCACACACACACACACACACACACACACACACACACACACACACACACACAAACCTTTCCTATCTTTAAAGACAAAATTCAGTGTAAAGGGCCATCGGAGAGAAGAGACAGAGAAAGAGGTGAAGAAGTAAAGAGAGAGATGAAGAGGAATAGAGAGACTGAGCTATGAAATGACGAAAACAAAGATCCACCACATGATTCTGTATGACCTAAATGTTCTGCTGCATTGTTAAATATGTAAGACAGGTTTAAAAAGTAGACAGCACTGTAGCACCCACAGCAATCTCTTGAGATTTCCCACTTTTATCATTTGAGAACACTCGTTATGACTAAAGGAAGTTAAAATTACACCGGTCAACGTCATTTGCTGACCAGAAGCTGGCCAGGCTTATATCATGAGAGGATTCTAAAAGCAGCTGATTCTTCTGTTCTCTGCTTGTGCCCATGTACAACATTGCCTTTGTTTCAAGTGAGTGGATTTATTGTGGATTCTTGAATTTCTGTGTAAGACCTAAGAGATAGGGTCATACCCCAAAAGACCCGATTTTACTAAATTCTGCATTTTGCTGGAAGGAAGGGAGGATCCCTCCCACCTGGTTCTGCTACCCAGTCTATCAGACCTCTGACTCTGCTCATTCTTATCCCTGAAGCTTTCTTTCCAAATCCCCCCAGTAGCAGTTTGGGCTTTACCTGCTCCCTCCGCGCTCGCTCACCCCGCCCTGTAAAATGCTGGGCCCCTCCTCCCGCTGTAAGACGCCTGTCACTCAATCCCGCTGTGCCGTCGCGATTGGCCGAAGAGGCAGATCGTCTAGCCCCGCCCCCGCCCCCCTTTACCGAGCTGGGTTTTTCCCAAAGGTGAAGAGTGAGATTCAGACGAGCGCCTCTTGGAGCAGGTGGACACAAGTATCCTCGGTTTGGCTGTTGCAGCTGTTCTTCCTCCAAACGAGGGGTGTGAGCCAAGAAAAGACAAGCATTCTGCCCCGGTTGATAGAGCTCCAGTGAACTGTTGCTCAGAACCTGGGCACTTTAAACACCTCATTTCCCTCCTTTCCCTGTACACATCACCTCACATGTGTAACCCCGTGTCTGTCTTTGCTGCTGCTTGCTCAGGACGGTAGAAGGGAGTTTGAAGCAGCTGGACCAGAGGGTCTCCCAGTGCTGCGGGGAGCTGTCCAGGGTACCGAAGCATCGCAGGCGCTGTTGCCACCTCCACCGTGCCAGGTTAGGCTGCACATTCTCATTTCTGTCTTTCTGATTTCCCATGCCCCGGATAAGACTGTTTTCAGGATCGTAAATTCCTCTCCGTATCATGGCCCACGACAGACACTTTCGGACACGAGTTTCTGGATTTTACTTCTGGGAAGCGACACTGTTACTAAGGTAGGTGCATTTGTATATTTAACAGTTGGAGAACTCATTAAGCCCATGCATTAGGATGCAACCACTTGTTAATTGATGACACACAGAAATTCGTAATTCGGATTAATTTATTGGAAGTATGACTTAAATTTTATTTTTTTCTAAAATTTTTCAGAAATCTATTGAGTCCTCAAAAATAGGTGATTTTCCTTTACTTTTTTTAAAAATGAATTTTATGTAATTTGATATTACTCTAGAAAAATAGTTTCCAAAGCCTAGATTTTGTTTTTCACCTCCTGCTTTTAGAATTTATAAATGAATATTTATTGTTTTACTTTCTTTTTAAAAGTTATGAAGCATTTATCAATTTGAAATGAGACATTATTAACCTTTAAAAGGCAGAGATAAAGAATATGAGGATTAACTGATCATATATATTCTGAACATTACTGATATATTCAGGTGTTAAGTCAAATAAGGAAAAACTATGGGCCTTGGAGGTACTATTTTCTAATGATCTAGTTCAGTAATTTATAAAAGCAAGATCACAAATCCTTGCACATGCTGTAATTGAAGAATTAACTTTTTGAAGAAACTCTTATCATGACTCTAGTAAATTATAAAATTATTTCATGACATGTCATGTTGTATTATTTTCCAATAGCATTAAATAGTTTTTTTTCTTTTTAACTAAAAGAGGATGCCAGAGTCTATACAGATAATTTGACCTCTGTTCTTAATCAAACAATGTATAAAATCAAAATAATATTCATACAGATTTTTAAACCCCCAATATACATTTTATTATCACCCCAGAATTACCATATAATTCCCATTTGTATGACTAACAAGCCTGTCAAGAGGGTTAAAGTTAGCTGATAGTGTACATTATATAAGTATATAAGTATACTTACTATTTCCATTTGAGATATGTGAATATTTTTTCAGTTAGCATTTTTTTTATTTCTGGATTATTTTAAAAATCATAATGCATCTCATAAACCATATTGGAGAATGTCATAATATTTTGATATACTTGTATAAAAAGGATGTTGTTCAAAAGGTTATCGTAACTCTTGTTAGTGACTTTATTCTGAAATAAGGTTTTGAGCTACTTTGAATCACTATATTTTCAATAAAAATATTGTAGCATAATTAAGTCAATTTACAATTTACAACTGCCAGAAATTTTACATTTATTGATCAATGTGTAAAGCTTTAATATTAATGAAAATTTCATGGAATGCCATACAAAGTTCATATTGTGACATTGAATTTTTACTGTAATTTCTTTAATATTTAATGATAGGAGACAATATGCATTCTTAATAAAATCATATTACTGTAGTTGATAATACTTAATAACTAAAAGATTTTGACCAAGACAATTTGTTCATAGGGGTAATTCACCATGGTATTTGTTACAGTATACTTCTAGATAGTCATTTTCATCTCTGTATCTTTGGATTTGAGTAATTCTATTAAAATTCACAAAACGATATTTTAAATTGATGGCCACAGTAAGAACATCTTCATTAATATGAAATGATTTCAATTAGAAATGCTTCTTATGGGCCTGGAATATAGCTGTGTGGCACACATGCCTGCCTAGAAAGCACAAGGTCCTGGGTTCAATTCCCAGTACAAACAAAAAAAGCTTTTATGACCAATACAAACATGCAATCTGTATGAAGGTAATACATCCAATGTAGATGTTTGTGTAATCGGGAATTTGGGATTCAAGTGTTCTTGTTTCTTTCATAAATCAAGTCAGACTTTTCCTAGATTAGTCTTTGATGAAAGTAGTTTTATCATTCGATGAAGAACTTTAACCATATGTAAAAATTATATATCTTCACTTTCAGTGATGGTCCTTGAAGCTTGATTTGTTACAGTAAAGAAAGAGAAGCTCCTTTATTGGAAAGGACTTACAAATTAAATGTCTTTAAGAAAGCTATTATTTTTCGTTGTTTATTAGTAATATATTGATTATTTAAAAAATGAAAAAATGAAGGTAAAGAGTATTTGGTGTTAAACAACTTGCTTATTTGTTTTTAAATTTAATTTAAATTTTTATTTTGAACTTTTGTTTTTACTTGGAACATAAAATTTATTCATATTTATGGGTCATAGTGTGATGTTTTGATAAATGCGTACATTGTGTAATGATCAAGTCATTACACAATGAAATTTAGCATATCAACAACCTCAAATATTGATCATTTCTTTGTAATGAGAACAAACACGATATTCTCAAATTATTTTGAAATATGTATTGTAATATTGTTAATCACACTCATCCTACTTGTTTATAGTACACCAGAACTAATTCCTTTTATCTAACTGTAATGTATAAAAAATAAATTTTTGACTAGACAGTATGAGGCAAGAATAATAATCCCAAATCACCAATGTTTATAATTAAATTATTTACTGGTATAAAAATTCTTTCATAGATCTTAAAAATGTCAAGTTTTATTAGGCCACATATATAAAATGCACACAAGTAAATTTCAAATTTTCTACATAAAGAGTCATCAAGGGAACACATTCAGGTGCATGGATCACAAATCACAAAGTGGAAGTTTCTATGTCACAGAGGCAATCAGCATAACCTGTCTCAGGAGTTAATCCTCTCTATATATTTATTACCAGCCCAAAGGTAGTAACTTCCTTGACATATAAGTGTATAAAAGTATATATTTCAGTCTCTTTTATTTCACTGAACACTATTTTATATAATTTAACATATTTCAGCATGTAGCACAAGTTTATTCTCATTATGGTATGATATTCTGTTATTGAAATATATCACAATTAATTCTTCCAAACCCTCTTTACATATTTTTTAGTTTCTTTAAGTTTTCCTGTGATTATGAAATACTTGCTAAATCAATTCCAAAAGCAGAAAAACTGTTAAAATTTCACTTAGATTCATTATTCCATTTGTTATTTAAACAAATTATGGCATATCATTTCAAAAATTATAGTTGCATATTCCAGAAATCATGATAATTAGAAACAAGGCATTTTCTTGGTTTATTTTAATAGGTGTTCATTTTGGCAATGAATCTATTAGTTTTGTTTTTGTAATGTTTTTGAGGATGAGAGAAATAATTTTTAATGCTTTGGCACTGTTTTCAAATATAACGTATTCAAGAAAAATGTACTTTAAGAAGTTAACTTTCACTATGATGATGATTTGTAACATGCAGATCTAGAAGCAAGAATCTGTATACTTTTAAGAATTATACAGCATACAATTTTCTTCCTTTCCTGTCTGAAAAGTCATACTTTATAGAAGAATTGCAGCCCAGCTCCCTAGTCAATCCCTTTAGCAGTTTAGCCAGCACACTCAGAATAGCTTGCAAAGTATTTCCTCCAATATAAAATTTGCTCTCCCCACACCATGTAAGTATGTACAAGATAGATCAGTCAATACTTGTTTCGTGTATAACGTTAAGCGATTTAATAAGATTCATTTACTAAATTTTGTGAACACACTTTTATACTATGCATAGTCAACTATAGACGATTAGGAAACTTCCAAATTTCCATCACCAACTTTACAGTCCAGAGAAAAAAAATGCAAAGTGTCAAGGGTCAAGAGAAACACAAATTACAATGCTTTAAGGAATATGAAGTAGAAAAATTATCAAGAATTTTTGGTGCTTGTGTGGAGCCATATAATACTGTTGCTCAGTGGTCAGAAATGAGATGTAAAAGACTATACTATGAAAAAAATTACATAGTTAAATGATATATTCATGGATAATGGTGATGATCAAAGTTAGTGGGAGAAATTCAGTGTTTCCTTTAACACTCTAAAGTATTCTAACAACTTTTGAATTGGTTACATAATAAGCCTGAAATAATATAGAGGAGTAACAACATATTTTCACAATTGATATGGATGAAATTTAGAGCAAGTAATTTAATTATAGTTGGATAGTCATTATTATAGGAAGAGCCCCATAAATTATAAAATATCTCTACAAATTCCTTTCCATTGGAGATAGTTTATCTCAAAATTAGTTGCTGCAGTATAAACTTAAAGTCCCAGCCATTCAGGAGGATGCCTGGAACCCAGAAGTTCAAGGCAGCTCTGGGCAACATGGAAAGAAATCATATTAAGGAAAACAAAACAAACTAAAAGAAACAAAAGGCACGATATAGTTGATAATATTTGGAACAGTAAAAACTATGCAAGAAATGAGACAAAAGTATAAGAAACTTTTAATGTTTGCTTTTTAGTGTTTGCTTTAATTTGAAAACTGACATTTTATTTAAAAAGTAATATCTTTTTTTCACATGTCAAAGGATTTTTTCTTAGTACATGTTTGCAGTATATAAAATTTTAAAAAATAACTAGAATCAAACAGAAAAATTAGATTGTTGGAAGAAAAGTAGATACTGAACTTAACTCGTGTTTTGAATTTGAAGTGCTAGCTCTGTGTTCTGCCACCAGTTAGGAAAAAGAGATCTGCATAGACTTAACTGGTAAACTTTAGATTTTACAAACAGTTTTAAGAAGAAACAATAGAAACACAGTTGAAAATGCATTCCAAAGAAATTAAGTAGAACATTTAAAGTAGGATCAAAAGAAGTAGTCAGAGACCTCAGAGCTAAGTGAGACTGACCATAAACAAGTATAAAGTAATAGTTTATCATAGTTTTATATTAAGTATCACAAAGACCAACTCTTATAATTAATGTATCTATCAATTTTCTATAGAACTTCCATTATTTTCAACTAGTATAATTCAAATTCATTAGTCTATAGTCTACAACTACAGATGATAAAGTTTAAGCACTTAAATTTTCTCAGGTGATATTAGCAAATTATTCTTGAGGAAGCTGAATATTTTATATCATAAATCATATAGGACATTACTCTCTGATCCTCTCAGAAAACTATTCTCCTATTCTTTTCCATACAATTGCATTTGTTCTTAGATTAACAGTACTTCATGGGAAGGAATATATACATAGGCACAGGTATACATTAAAATGTGTTTTAT